AAAGTCACAGTAACCAAGGAAACGGGACGTGACCACTGTTTCGGAGTTTGTGAAGACGATAGAACATTTAATTTTTTTATTTATTTGATAACCGGGAGATAATTCAATATGATTCGTTTACATTCGGCCTAATGAACTAGCACGTTAAAAAAAACCGACTCACTTGTCTCCATGAAATGATGTCAATACATATTTTTTGGCGCTGCACAAGGTCTTCCGCTCTTGCACGTTGCTATTTTACTCTCATTTCAATTAAACAAAGAGACGCAGTTCAAAAACTAATCGTGCACACCTTCTTTAATACATTTTATACCAGGATGTATTCTTTATTTATAATTCTTCTACATATCAGAAAATAATTATGTTTAGCTCTCCTTCAATTTAAAGAAGTGGGTATCCGTGTAGTTGCATTTTATTTTTGCGTACTTACAAACTAGTTTTAACTCGGGTAATAGGAATGGTCTTTGGTGCTGTTAAATGACTAGTATCTCTTCGGTGATGATTTGCCCTTCATGTTTTATTTCAAGTTATAAGTTATAAGTTCGTAGTTTGTTCAATTCATAGATATGTCGATTAATTTAGAAGTTACGCAGTGTGTACATGTATCTTAGTCATCCGTTGAAACCTGATGTCACTATTTAACAATGGCTTTGGTTTTGCTCGTATCTGCTGAAAAAAGTAAAATCACAAAAATACTGAACTACGAAGAAATTCAAAACGGAAAGTCCCTAATCAAATGGCAAAATCAAATGCTCAAACACATCAAACGAATGGATAACAACTGTTATATTCCTGACTTGGCACATGCATTTTCCCATATAGAAAAGTGTTTACTTTGACAGCGATCTATAAGTTATTAATCTTGAAGAACTACAAGGTATGGATCTTTGAAAACGGTAAAAGAAAAACGATAGATTCCAAATGGATCATGCAATGGTTAAGCTTCTATTAATAATCACACGATTCTACACATTCGTTTTTCTAATAGAATCATTAAGATTTCTTTAAATGTTCACATAATGATATAAATAAAGGCAATAGTAATATACCACTTTTAAAAATTCATTAATCGATTAAGGGAAAACAAATGAGAGTTAGAAACTAGTACGTAATTCGAGAGAAAATATATCAACCAAACAAATTGCACCAGAAAAAATAGGGACATAGAATTGAAGCAAAAGTTATTAAACTGGATTGTCTTATTCCTCATAATTTACAAAACAGAGGGTTTGAAAGGACGCTTTTTAAATTTTTAATTCAACAAATGACATGCATAAGCATATACAATGTAAAATCTGTAAAGTACATTAACAAAATCATTGAAAGATGAGACATACAATGTGCTGTCTTCAAATTTCATATAATATAAATATAACATACGCATGTCTATGCTCAAATCAATATTTCGATACGTACCGGAAACATCTATTTAGTACGTTATTTTATGACAGTGATAATTTGGGTAGGAATCTGGAGAATCATACTTTTCATCAAACAATTATTGTATATTGACGATTTACGATTAACAGTTTAGATTATTCAATTGGAATTGGAGCAAATTTTAGGAAAATTAATAGGTTGACAATTACCGATGCAGTTAGGTTCATACGGCGAGTTGCGTTCGTATGCCATTGTTTTTGAAATAATGTATTGATACATGTTTATTGTTCTTTAACGTAAAGCGTAAGATTCATAGTGTCTATTCGGTTGAAATCCGAAATATGATTATTAGTCAGTACTGGATTAACAACAAGAATATATATAGAAAATAAAGAAAACTTGAAAAAAACTCTTTGCGTTTTTAAATTCAAATTTTTCAGAAGCCGAATTTACCCCAGTGGATAACTATTAAATTTGACTGGAAGACGAATGAAGCATTTAATTCATTGCTAAGCCTTGAAAGAGCGATTCAGGTTAAAATGGCCTTTTAATCTCACAATTGGTTTACTAGTGACCTTAATGTATATCTCTTACAAGCAAATAATTACCAGATGGATTTGATAGGGATATATATATCTCCAACTTGATCTGTGTAAAGTATGGAACTTGTCATTATTATGATATAGTTGAAGAAAACATGAAATTGACAATTTTATTAGATTTTAACGGGAATTTTTTTTTAAATTCAAATAAGAACACCATTATATTACTTTAACAAGTTTTGTTAGTACAAAAAGTATCCCTCATTTTATCATAATCCATTTCATTATAAAACGACCCATTTAACGTACAATAAGATGTCAAGATTTCATATTTGATCAGAAAAAGCGATCATCTATAAATTCTCACCAGTAGCTGAAATGAAAAGCAAAAGCAAAATTAATATGGTACACAAAAAACTTATATCGGAGGCGATACTTTTTTGTATAAAAAAGGGGCGAAAGATACCAGAGGGACATTCAAACTCATAGATCGAAAATAAACTGACAACGCCAAGGTTAAAAAAGAAAAAGACAAACAGACATATAAAGCTTCATATTTCAGAAGTTAAAATACTTTATCTCTATGTTTTGTGCATATTTTTTTTTTCTCAATGTTCAAACATTGTTTCTCAGATACTATAAGCAGAATGCTAACAATATTTGTTGTTTGAAAGTGTTCGATATATATGCATATCTGGCAAGTTTAATCTGTCATTAGACTTATTTCTATTGTTAATAAGTTTTTGGAGTATGCCTTATTTCTTATAGGTTGCACTTTGTAAATACAGCTGTTTCATAAACCACGCCTCTTTTGGGGAGATACATAATATTCATAGATATTTTCTTTTGTTTACGTACTGGTTCCCAGATATAATCTCTATGTCTCATCTCAAAGAGACATAACTTGGGAAAGTTACCAGTATAAATGCAAATGGACGACAGTGGAATTGAATTCTGAGTAAGACATTAAGTGAAGGGAGTGGTAGTGCAGCATTTTAGTATAAGTTGAAACTCTTAGAAGTTCGGGCCATATAAATGTTGAAAATATGCCGCACAGCCCTATATTTTGACCTTTGAATAAAAAAGTAGTGCATATTAACTTTCCATTCTAGGCTATAATTGTTAACAAAACTGCATAGTAACAGTGATCCAATTTTAGCCGTAAACGGAGTTCTTATGGGAAATTGTATTGTCTATATTTACAGGAATGTAACCTAAATACAATAATTAATAGGTTCACTACATATTGTATATGATATTATTGTAAAGTGTACATGTCTGCCTGACAGGTTCCATCTGATCTTGACCTTGTTTATAGGTCAATGAACAGTGTTTGTTGTCTAGTATGCTTTTCTGATACTGTGGAAATATTTTCTTCATAGATACCAATTTTCCTGGTTTGAGGAAAACTTATATTTTCTCAAATATTTGACTTTGTGGAACTGACAAAGTCTGTTTACAAGCCTTTTGAAAGTATGTTCTTCGGCGGACATTTAAATTACAAGTTTTACTATGTCAACGAAATCCACGAAAATTGGTATACTACAGTACTGTATTCTGATAATATACATGATAAATGGTGTATTGAAACAACTTTATTTGGTGTATGGATAGTTGCAAGATGCACATGTTTTTCTTGTTGGCTTTTTCTTACCTTGACCCCATTTTTACTGTTCTTTGATTAAAGCAAGGTTTCTCGATTTTATGTCTGTTACTCTTATACCGTATGCAATATGTCAACTATATAAAGTATATGAAAGGATGGTCTCATTATTGGGTAATGGAATGAATTGAATATTTGATGATAATTATAACTATGTGTTTTAGTGAATAAATGGACAACTATGTGTTATACATGTTATATATAAAACAGGAAGGACCTACAGTACGGAAGTAGTTCAGTTCAACGTAGATTTTTTCGTGTCACTTTTTTTGTTATATCCGTAAATATATGGTACAGGTACAGTTATATTTTATTGATGTTATGGCTAGGGTTGGTTTCAATCATTAATTGGAGTGATAAACCATTTCTACAAAGAATTAACCATCAGTATAAGAAATAAAAAAAACAATTTATTGACGTAGAACCCTAATATTTCTGGGTGTTTTATTTGAGAATCTATAAAATATATCAACCACACACATGGTTTCTGTTTTAGAACTGTAATGGTTTTAATGATACCTTTCTGAAACAGTTCTAGAAAGGAGTCAAAAGAGAAACAACAAAATCTGTCTCAATTGAAACTCTTGGGGACTTTAGATTGTGCTTTGTTATGGCAAACATTCGGTTACACTAGGTTCACAACATATACAGTTTGATATGCCTGGGCTTAAAATCATGAATGGTTTAGACAGGTTTCCGGTTTTTGCAAGATTCAATTTACACATATTTCACTTTATACATTTTGTTTTCGTATGAAGTAAAAAGTGTGCATTTAAATTGGCAAAGAGAAGAGAGAAGAGAAATTAAATGAATGTTTTTGTGTGAAAATTGCCGAAAAATTGTAAGATACTTTTTTCAGAACCTTAGTTATACATGTTATATGCAGGAGACTGTTGGTCTAATAACGAAAAAAGAGAAACATAAGCGCCCAATTACTACAAAAAAAACCATTTACGGTATAACAAAACAGGAAGTGATTGCAGATCGAAAAATATGAAATACATTACAACTTATCATAAACAATTTTCAGATGAATTATCACATCATACTGTAACACAAAAGTAAAATGGAACTAATAACATTCATGCTCAGTCAGTAAAATAAACATTTAAAGTGTCGTCAAGCAGAAAGAGGATTGACAAAAATATCATCTTTTACCACTACGGCGTGTCAGTCCAAGTATTAACTTTTTTCTACACACAAAAGCAAAGCCACGAGCGTCAAGGTGATAGCAGTATACCACTCGCTCAGTGAATGGGGTCGAGGTTGTTGTTTTTCGGACAAAAAACGACTGCAAAGGACAATTCTGAAAAGAATCACGTTCACTGCAACTAAAATGTGTAAAGCAAAAGTGTTTATATTGAATTGAAACTGACAAAGAAAACACTGGTACTTTAATATATCAAGATACTTTTTATTCATATTCTACGTATCATTAACGTTGTTGATTTTAACGAATAGTTGTATCCTCTCCAACAAGGCCATACCATTCCTTTAGATTTGAGTTTGGTTTCGCCTTTAAGATAGGCTCCGTTTAGATTTGATTGATAACACTTGTTATACCAGTATCCTCCATTGTAAGAATTCGCACAGTTGATGTGGTGGTTATCATTGTCCTGGTCGGTAGTCGAGAAAAGAATGCCATTATGACCAGATAAGCAATCTCCTGTAACAGACGAATTTCAAACTGTAAGACTGCATTCAAATCTTACTGCATGTTCATTTTACCTTTGCTTTTTGTCCGTTTAATTTTTAAAAAAGTGGTCATAGTTTCCACTGCAGAAGTTGTTTTCCAGTTTTAAGGTTGATGGGAAAAGGAAATAATTACTGTGTAGAATAAACTCAAGCAAGTTGAACGATCACTGTGTTTTGTTCGGAGTCTGACTATAATATTTACCGCGTGCATACATGTACATGGATTTATAGAACAAGGCATTATGTTGATGATGGTACGCTTCATGTGCAGGGCACCTTAAACGCATTTTCAGCACGATCATATGTTTATGTAATATGTTTGTGTTATATGAATATTAGAGCAATACGCTGAGCCAGATGTTTATTCTGTCAGTGTACAAGGTAAAACTCCACAGGAAGACATTTATTTTATTGATTTTGTATTTACATTGTGTCATAGATCAAATTTATTCGTTCAGTGTATGTTCTCTTCTGTTAATGTGTCTTTTGATTGAGTTTAGCCATTTCAATTTATATTTTAGAGTGTGTCTTTTTTATGTTGTAGTGTTACACTATTGTTTCAGATAAGGGCGAAGGTTAGTACCTATTAAAAAGTTTAAACACGATGCAATTGTTTGCACATGTCATTTTTGGGGACCTTTATAGAAGCTGTTCGGTGTTAGCCAAGGCTCCGTGTTGAAGACCGTACTTTGACCTATAATGGTTTACTTTTACAAATTGTGACTTGGATTAGAGAGTTGTCTCATTGGCACTCTTACCACATCTTCGTATATCTATGTAAGAAAGCATGATTATGAAATTAATAACCAGTCATTTCTGAGGCGTTATGGTACCGAACTTTGCCACATAAGTTGTAAATGTTAACAGTTTTTATATGTGTGTTTTTTTAATTTTTTTATTTGTTTATTTTTGTGAGTAGTTTTTCTTCATCAACTGAAATTTTTGAGATACACAAAATTTACTCGTTTATCAAATAGGAAAGTTATTGTTTAAACATTTTTAAGTTTTTATCTGGCTTTTGGGCATTTTTTTTTTCTTTTTCAGTTAAACCCAAATTGCTTGGTCTTTTTATTCCATAGACGGGAACATTCTAAACAGCGCACTACAGTAATGGAAATGTAATATGATTTATTGTAAGTACATACTAGTACCTGCATTTCCACTATAACCACTAATTGTCAGTTTGTATTTTGATTTTGCATCTCCAACTGAAAACTTCCTATATAAAGCATATCTGGCCTCTCCGTCGAAATCCGCAAGATCTATTCTTAATTCAAAGTTACCTCCGGAAGTTAAAATATGCATTTTCTCATTACCTAGAAACGAAACATATTCACGATAAATAATAAGCATGAACAAATAATGTACAAAATACAATGAATTTACATTAATGATCAAGATTAAATTACATGAATTAAGATACCTGAAACAAGAACACTTAAACCTGTAAGACATAAAAAATCCTATATGAATATATAATGAAAAAGGAATTCCAGAAAGTCAAAACTAACATCTATTTAGGACGGTTTATGTTCATTTTATTCTATTTTAATACAACACTATAACATATTCTCTAAGCTATCATTAAAGGGTCACATAACAAAATAGTATTTGAAAAAAACCAAACCCAATTTGAGGAAAGTGTTTAATAAAAATTACACTTTTAGTATGAACCTACCAAGCCAGTGTTCTCCTTTAAAATTACCAAACCCGTGTTCATATTCTTTCCAGGTTCTGTTGAAATCTATTTTTCAATTAAATCGTCTTTGAATAACCTGAATAAAATACCAACGTCACGTAATAGATACATATCAAGTGAATAGATTGTTTTGTCTGTTGAGTATCTTGGTATATTATCTCACGAAGGAGTCACTGATAACAGCTACTGTGGTATTTTGTTCTGTCCGTTGTTTTTGATAATTACTTTTATACTTTTATAGATAAATATTATACTTTCATAGAGGAAGTAAAGTATATTTGTACACATGTGTCTTTTCTATTGCATACTAACTGACCGGTTGTTGAACTGTTGAACTGAAGAAAGCATTCGATCCAACTTTACAGAATGTTATGCATTATTGATAATATTAAAGACAATGTAATTATTAACATGATTAACGTTTTTATGTGTTATTCAACAGTAAAAAATATTCATTAATTGTTTGGAATCTACGACGCACAATTATATCCAAATAAATCGTTTCTTAAGAAACGTTTGTTTGTTTTTTGAACGTTTTATATATTTAAACTCATTGTCCAAGCTTTGCCTTGATTGGTCAGTTTACAGTAAACGTCAAATGGTTTTAGCCCTGGCGGGAAGATCGTATAAACTCCACTTTTACAATGTGCTGGGTCTATCTCTCCACAGTCTTTAGGTTTGGCAACTAAAAGGTTAAATGTTATTGACAGTTTAATAGGTTTGATAGTTCTTTGTGTATTTTCAATTACAAAAGATTTCATTCATATTACTTTTTACAAATACTTGCGTATGAAATTTTAAACATAACTTGTTTAAAGCGTTTTAGCTTGATAAAAAATATTTGAATTTAAACATTTTGTCAATTTTCATATTAGCAGAAGGTACAACTTTTGGAAGAACAATTAGAACATGTATATAATAATATGATTGTGTTCTTCATAATAAGAAACAATTATTACTATTTGCAACATCTTGCGTATTATATTTTTATTTAACAAAAAAGTGTTTAAAGCGCTTTATCTTTGTAAAACTTAAACGGTTTGTAATTTGCATATAAGATGTAGGTACAATTTTAGAGAAAACAATTACAACATGTATCTAATAATATGAATGTTTTCGTCATAAGACTGGTACATAAATTTTTACATTACCTTCTGAATATCAAAAGTAGACGATCGTTAAACTTTGAAGCGAAATACAAATAAGAATTCGATAATGGCATGTTTAAGCTTTTTGAAATCAAGTAGTAATGTTCAGACGTCATCGAGTGTATATTAATACATATTTAAATTTAATGATCGATTTTAATTTGTTGGCAGAAAACATTCTTGTTGGCAACTTTTCTAAAAAAAAATGCATGCAAAAGCCACATAAATAGCTCCGTTGTTTTAAAACAGAGTCATTTGTGTTTTTTTTTTATTTGTTGTTATATCGAAATAAGGTAAAACAAATGGTGTTATCGCTAATGACAAACTATCCTTAAAGAGACAAATTGACATGGATATAAGTAACTGCTTGTCACCATACGACTTTAACAATATCAAAACCATGCCACGTGGTATAAGTTATTAAAGGCTTCAAAATGACAAAATGTAAATCATTTCCTAAAAAAAACCAACAACCCGTTTAATTATAATTTGATGAACGAAAAGAAACCCTGACTTGGGACATGCATATACAAAATATGGCAGGATTAAATATTTAACGCGCAGCAAACTCGCCCTAATGGGACAATGGTGTAGCTGAAAACACTTGGGCCAAAATGCATAAGATATCAATTTAGGAGTGCTTCAAGTTATTGAAAAGTATGTCAAAGCCATTTATAACTAATGAATGAATCACTCATCTTTTCATTTACAAAATTATCAAGTGTAAAATAAGTCCGACCTCGCGCAATGCCATACTTTTAAGTAATAGAAATTTAGAACCATAAGTGGTCATACGTGTATAGCAATATACATATCTACCGAATATATTTATATTTATTATCAAGAAAATCAAAGTACCGACCAAAATATATTCAAATATCACTATGTAAAAAAGAAAATACTGCATACAACGGCAAGCTTAAAAAATTGTCCTACCTGGACACCAGTTATTGATAAAATTTCCTCGTCCATGTTAACACCTTTCTGTGAAAATTTGTTTGTAGAATGATTATTTCATAACTCTGAAGAGAGACTTCGATTATCTCACAAAAGTTATATTAGATGTTTTTTTTTTTGGCATTTTGTTTTAAGTCTTCACATATTTGTTTTGAAACTTGGTTATCTGCAGTTTACTAGAAAACATCTGAATTCAAAATGAATATTGTGAAGAGTTGTCTCATTTGCAATAATACCACATCTTCTTTTTTATATGTAAATTTAACAAACAAACAGTTAATTTTATGTATTCTTGATACGCAAGATATTGAACTTATTTATGAATCATGTCGCTAACGTGACTTTCTCTTTTAAACATTTTTCAAACCTAAATTAACAAATGATGTGTTTCTGTTGACATTAGAATATTTGTTGTTCCTTTTTAGTGTTATTTATAGATTAACAGAATTTTGTAACTAGTTGTTATCTTACCGTTAACTGCAAAATAAACCTTATACAACTCCAGGTTTTTTTTTATCATCATGTTGAAACCCGTCATAATAACTTCAGAATATTTCATTAAGCACGACGGATAATTATTCATCTTTATAATTTTATCAATTATTTACTCAAACATTATTATTATTGAACTAGCATATGTTTATGTTTCCTTATATTGTAAACTTGATATTTAATTGTGGATGAAGTTCGTTTAATATCTTGAGAAATGTTCCTACTCTGCGAATTTGTTGTGGTAACGATGACAACAAAAGTTGTAATCGGAATATTTTCGATAAGAACATTTTGCTGAATGGTACATGCATTTCGGGAACAATCTACCATTGTGAACTGTAGAAAAGTGTTGACTGTTTTATTGATTTTGTAATTTGATAATGTAACATGTGTTTCTATGCATGTTTCTCTGACTATACACTGTACAATGTGTTACATTTTTCCCAGGAGAATGTAAAACATCTATAGTAAGGTAGTTGGATTACATATCATCAAATTTGCATTTTTTCATCGATTGTACAGTGCAAATTAACAGTACAGTAACATTATAATTTGATTTTGATAGGACAGTCGAACATTTGTTGAACGCTGGTTTGTTACATATTTGTATGTGTATTAATGTTTGTATGTTCAAAATAATTCTATGATTTACAAATATATACCTTCAATCGTTTTTCTTTTTGTACATATATACAGTCCATTCTCAATTTGAGACATTCCAAAATGAATTACAAGTCTGTGATATATATTAAATAATCTATTTTGAAATGCGTCACACAATTTGATAATCATCAAATTAATTTGGACTTTTTTTCGGAAAATGCAGTAGTAACGTAAGTTTTTTTGATGACCCATCTTACCTGTTGATTTGGGGTTAAAAGTCTTTTGAATCATATATAGAAAATAAGTCACAAGACATTTTTTTTTGAAGTTTCATGATATTATGTGTATTTAGGTCATACAATGTATATGAAGTAAATATCAATGGCATTTTGTATGTTTATCGTCTTGAACTCGACATATTTGGGAAAATTTATGAAATATTTCATCTCAAAAACGAAAGAACTGTACTTTCGAAAGTTTTTCAGCTGCTACCTAGTTGAAATATAAAAAGTGAAATAACAAACTTAAAGATTAAAAGTAATATTATATCTTAATATTTAAGAACAAATATAACACTACGACAATTGATAAGCCAGTGAGTAGATTGAAACTAGTTTCCTTAACATGAAAATATTCATTTGACTTATTCATTCACATAGAAGTAATCTCTAATACTAATTCTCTGTAAGGACCATACTTTTTGAATAGGAGCTTAGAAATGTATGTTCTTAGAATTCAGTCATACTTTGTTAAATTACTCATCTCATCATAAAACATTACTGGAAGACATTTTTCTTGGAAAAACTTTGTGCGTTACCATGGTTACGGGAGCCAATAACTTTCGGCTCTGTTTTATACCTTTTTAAGTGAAAACGACCATTTTCCAGTCTCAAATCAAACCAAACAACTAAATATTGAACGAAATGTTTTCCCATTTATGCATTATATACTTTATTTGTAATATTTTTACTACATCTCATTCCTTCCAGTTAAGCACATTCTCAAGAAAAAAATCGCACGAACATGTGCTAATTTCAGAAGATTTACAATTTCAGAATTTTGCATTTTTTGGCTTTATTTAATCTAACTTTACTAAAATTTGTATTTTGTTCCCTTAGTAGGTATATCATGAATAAATTCAGAAAAAAATAAGTGAGGTCTCGCTGGACAACCCATTACAAATCATGCTTAAAAAAGCATGAATTGGTATTTGGTCAAATTTGGCCAATACAACCAAGATCTTTATTGTCAATTTGTTTTAACAATTGCTCATACAAACGATCAGTAGTTATATGGATCACTGTGTGGTATTCAACTTAAAAAAAATCAAAATGAAAGGAATTCTTTAATTTTGTGTGCATATCAACAAATTGTTACCACAGTAACAAACATTTTTTAAAAATTCAAGTAATTTATATGAATGATAAAGAGAAAAATACATAAAGATATCTATGAATGAAATTTGTTTATCACCATACCAACCATACTAACTTAAATTTTAAATTTTTTGTTTCCCATGATTTTTCCCTTCAATCTTCATCAGATTCTCTCTGATCATGTTTGTTAAACAGAACTTGACAAACAGGTGACTTCAAAAAGGCAAAAAAAACTTCTTACTCTTCTAAAAAATCTGAGTTTAACTACTTTTTGATAGGATATAGTTGCGGATCTATATTTTGATAGTTTTTTTGTGTAGTGCCCACCATTAAGTAATATGTTTTCTTTGGGTTTTTTTAAATGACTAATTTGCTGATGTTTTTTTTAAGAAATAATAAATAGACTGTATAAGCAGAAATGATATACAATCACTTACCATATTTATGATGCCTTCAATAGTATGATTATTTGA